TTAATTTTTTTTCGGACAAAATCTTGTGTTCGAACCAGGGGCCACGAGTTTAACATTGGTGTCTTATGGGCATTTTGATCAAAATTGTTTTTGGTGTCTTGTTCCTTTAATTTTCGCCGTACATCAAAAATAATGCCAGAATCGTGATCTACGTCAAAAACTGAGACTAGCGATATATAATGTGACAACATTCCACTCTTAGAAGCGAAAATAATATTACCAAAAAACGGATTTTTTGAGATATTTTCGAGATTTTTCGTTCTCTTTTTCCCGCTGTGCGAAGCGGGATGTTGACATGTACACATCGTTAAACTCAGTTTTTGACGTAAATCACGATTTGGGGTCTATTTTTGATGTAAAGAGAAAATTGGAGGAGCAAGGGTAGATTAACAATTTTTAACCAAAACGCCCATAAGACACCAGTGTTTAACTTGTGGCCCCTGGTTCGAACACAAGATTTTGTCCGAAAAAAATATAAAAAATATGGTTAGTCTTAGGATATACCAGGGCAACTTTTCCGCACTATTCCAATTCTCGAATCAAAAATATGCAAAATTCGATCACCCCTAGTGCCATATTAAGTATTGTTTTGCTCTACTTTTACGAAGTATAACTACTTACACTTTATTAAGTTTTTCTTCCAAGAATCAAAGTTATTCATTAAGTATTATTTTCAGATCTAGAACATGCATGTTTGAAATCATTATTCACTTACTATTTAACAACACTCGTATGTGTTGCGTAAATCATTCTTTTAAAGTCATCAGTCACTATTTCATAAAGCATGTATATATTGCGTTCAGCAATGTTCCAAATTCACTATTCCTGTATTATTTAATAACGTTAGTATTGCGTTCTATTCCAATTCATGCTTCACCTCTCAAATCAACTCTAGAAATCTACAAGAAGAGATGAGTTAGAGGAAGGTCGATCATCTATAGACGTCTATCTTCCGTGTGGATAATATTACAAGGTAGATGTACGCCAGACCACGTCTCGCGTAACAGGCTTCGCGATATCTCACGAAGCACTGTTACGCTGCGACGCGCCCGGCATACATCTACCTTGGCCTGCGGCGCTGACACCAGAGTCGGGTAGTAGGAAAATGTACACAAAGGTACGGGCCTACGGCCCGTCAACGGCCAATCACCTCGACTAAGCATGCAGGGTTGTACATTTTTCGCTTATTTTCGTCAAAAATACCCTCTAGCGCCTCAACGGTTTGAGCTAGAGCAAAACGGACAAAATTTTCGCCCACAGGGCTCTACTTTGACGAGTTACCCCTAAGGGAACCATACAAAAATATTTTAAAAAAACATCATTTTTGGGACCCGTTGTTTTTGATTTTTTAAAAATCCAATTTTTGAGCTAGAATGCCCATCTTCGAACTCGATCTGTCTTTTTATGACACAAAACAACCCTGAAAATCCCAAGTCACTCGCTCAATTCGTTCTCGAGTTAACGTGCGGACAGACAGACAGACAGAAAAAGTTTTTACCGATCAGACGGAGTAATAGGCTTCGCTATCGCTCAGCCAAAAAATAGTACCGGTGAGGATGACATCCCCACCAAAATTCCATCTGTTTGCCAAGAAGAACTTCTTCCTCCATTACTTGACCTTATCAACTACTCCTTCCAGACCAGCGCTTTCCCAAAATTACGTAAAAAAGCAAGAATTGTCCCCATATGTAAGTCTAGTTACCACTGTTAGGGTCCAACATTAGGAGAGTGGGTGTCCTGGCAAGGGGATTGGGGAAAAACAGGGACGAAAAGTATGGCATTTTGGGTTAAATGGTTAAGGGCCTTAAAATACCATAGGGTCAAAGGGAAATTGGGCTTAATTTTTCTGGATGAAGTGCAACGGGTGAAATGTCTCAGGGCAAATGTCATTGGAAAAAGTGGTTTTGGGTGAAACAGATTGGGCGAAACGTACCGGAGCCGCCCCGATCAACCCGCTGGTTGTCGCAACTAACCTGCTCCAGCTGTCCCGCTTGGTTGTCACAATCAGAAACTCGATACTGCTGGTATCAATCGAGAGAAATGGTCGTGGCGATCGACTTTCGGTTGCCCCAACCAATCATTTCTAGCCCGCCCTTCTGCTTTTAAAAAAGCATTAAAGCGGGCTTATGCAACCGCTCTCGTGTCCGTCCGTCCGACGTCCGTGTAAGAGGACGGAGGTGAACTAGAGGTCTATAAATTTCAGGGTATCTTACGGGTCACTCCTGGACAACGAAACGCCTGGTGGAAATCCTGTCAACCAAGGGTGTGAAAGGGGGTAACAAAGAAATAGGGGTTGGTCCAAAAGTAGGAAAAAATATTTTTTAAGATCTCCTATTGGGTAACCCGTAACAGTAGAGCCCTGTGGGCGAAAATTTCGTCCGTTTGACTATCTTGCACCGTTTTACCGGTCACCTTACTTATTTGATTATGCACTTCAGTAAATTGCGAGACTGAAACGGCCGGGCCGAAGGCCCGACCATCGCCGCCGGCAGGCCAAGCGGGCCCGGCCTCTTCCGAACGGAGTTGCCGGCGCAGCGAAGTGGAGCTGGCAACTCCATTTGGCGGAAGGGCGGGCCTGCTTGTTTTCCGTGTATACGAGCAGGAGCGGAACAAGAGTGGCCCATATTACCCCGCATGGTCCAAATGAGCCCCTTTTACGGTAATTGTTAACTTTGACATTATCAAGAAAGTTATCCACATTTCTTGGCAAAGTCACATCTTGAGCACTGGGTATGCAATACAAATTTATGTACTTTACACCTCCTACACATGAAACAAGCTTTAGAAAACGAAGCAACAAATCCACCTATGCTATTCAGCCAAACGTTGTCACCAAGAATCAGACCAGTTTAAAAAAAAATTCTCTTGACACCAATAGAAGTGTTCACAAGTATTCCATTTTTCTCCAGAAAAATTAAGTCATCGACAAGAGGCTTAAAGACATTTTTTGAGTCTCAAAGTCAGCACTACGGTACTTGCTTAAGAACAAAAGAGATGCAAAAATGTTAGACAGAACTGCCTGGCACTCTAGAGGCAATAATGGCAGTTTAACATAAACACCACTTATCTTTTTGGAATGGGGCCCCAGGTCCTTGATGAAAAAAAAAATCAAAATTGTAGAAAACTTTTGGGAATTTTTTGACATTTTAACTAGAAGCAAATTCAAATTTCTCACTGCTCTGCTTTAAAATCAAAGTAAATTCGAGAATTAAAAAGTTAATACGACGAAACTGTGAACTTTATATTCAGGGTGGGTGATTCGCGTCGTCTTTTTTTTTGTATTCCTTCTACTGTATGTTACGTGCGGGCGGGTTGCATACTCGTACTGCGCCGTAAGGCGCCATGGCGAGCGACGGTAGGCAAGCCCGCCCGCCCGCGTGAATCTGGTACAGTTTAAGCTTTTAAAAAAGGCGGCGCGGATCGTCCACCTTCTACTCTGAATGAGAAGGAACAAAATTGATCCTTTAGATTGGGAGTGTGCATTCAGGTACCTCATGTGTTTCGATCTGTTGCAGAAATTATTCAAGACCTAGAGTACGACAGCGTCCAGCGGTATGGAAATGCCCAGAAAACGGGAAAGAACGTCAGCAGGACAAATCCGGAGAGGACCACTGACCGACCGGTTGTGCAACGAACAAGATGATATAAGTAGGGCGAGGGCTCTCGGGCGGACAGGGAAGGCGACGGATTTCCTGGAGCTGGCCCAGACCTCCCTCACCCAGGACTTTGCCACCCTCAGCACGTTTCCTGATGACCATCTCGGCGTGCTAGATGAGTAAGCTGCGTCCCACACTGTAAGTACACCTGTAAGTGCACATATAAGCCAATGATACTTATATGATTTTATCCGACAGGCCCGAAGAGTCCGGAGAGGAAGCTGTTGATCCTGGTGATCCACCCCGCTGAAATGATTGATGATGGAGAGGTGAATGAGGGGGTGACTGAGAGGATGGAAGTTGATGACGACACACAAGAATCCTCAATTGAGTGAGTAGTCACTTCCCAGACATTCCACACGTTTCAAAGTATTGCAGAAATAAAAAGCCAATTGGTTTCAGATCCATGCCATTTTTAGACTTCTGTGAAGCCCTTGATGCAATACTCAATGATCCACCTTTTGTCCTGATCAACAGAGTAAGTACATTGTTATTAAAAAGCAATTAATTTCAACTTGAATCCATTTCAATTTACTTTTTCTTTGGGCTTTGAATATGCCATAATCGAGATTGCAATGCTGACTTCAAAAAAACCTAGTCATCACTAGCGTTTGGCGATTTCCATTAGTCTCGTCCATTTCCGATGCTATCATGAGTCAGACAATTTTGCCTCACTCAGAGCGATGAGTGTAAGGCTCACCCTATTTAAGCCATATGCACCGAATCATCACTCTGAGGGAGTAAGATTTCCTTGGCCTCGCCCAATTCCAGTGAGGAATCTCGCTCTCGTTGGGTGAGGACCGCATATCATGACTCAAATTGAGTGAGTCACATATCTCGCTCTCAGGAGAGTGAGATTTTTTGGGTCACTGATCTCACTCTCCTGAGAGTAAGACTCTAGCATTTTCAGTGATACATTTTCAATTTTTCTATTACAGAACTTGCACCAAAAGGCAAGGTCTAAGGAGATCGGACTAGGCAAGTTCTTCAAGACCTACTGTTGAGAATAGGGTATTCCTATGGAGCGCGGAGCGGAAGCAAAAAGAACAAAAACGGAATGTGGAAAGGCGCCGGGCCCGCGCCGTCCCCCTCTCCACTACTAGACGGAGTGGAGGGGGCGCCCGGGGAGAAGTGCGGGCACCTTTCCACCTTCCGTTTTTGTTCTTCTTGCTTCCGCTCCGCGCTCCATTGGAATACCCTATTGTGTCTCGATAGATATTTTGGGTATTTAAGGAAATATGACACAAGATGTCGTTCCTATACTTTCAGATATTATTGAGTCCAAAACAAGTACAGTACACACGCTCTGATGTCCCCGGAGGAAATTTGCGAGAGCTCCAGCTGAAGTTCCGGCAGGTAACACGTTCACTTTACTGATTCACATACATAAGGCTAGGCGGTGGGCGAAGTATGACGAACTCATACAGTGCAATATGAAAAAGTTGCCATTTCCCAGCACCTACAACAACGGCAGTGACGAGCACCCGGTTTCCCACTTTCTGCGGCTTTCTTGCCTTCTGGTCCGGCTGCCGTACACCCATGTCAAGTCAGGGTACAAATATGTAAAGGGTTTGGTCAGCAAAGTGCAAGAGCCTGATTTACGCGAGAAATGTAAGGAATTCCGTCGCTATCTCTACAGCCAATGGATTAATAAGGATGACAATGTACTAAAGGAGTGGTCAGTCTATAATAGAAAAGTGACTTGTACTAGCGGACTGGAAAGCGTAAACAGAAAAGTAAACTCCTGACGCATGTGCACTCAGTCCCGCATCAGTCTTCATAATGTCTTCACCCTCAATTGCTGCACGACGCGAACAGCTAGATCTTCTTTTAAGCGGGCCGTTTCCGAAAGGGAATCCTGCTTTGAAGAAGTTTGTTGATTCTCTATATGAGATTGTTTTCAACAAGAAGATGAAGAAGAACTCTCTCGGTGTGATGTGGGAAACACGCGTCGTGTGTTGTTATGGCATAACACACAAGACTCTGCAGGGTTACCAAATGAAGCTAATCAAAAACCTGTTTTACTATCTGCCAGTGCTGAACAACCGAAGAGAACTCGCAAGGACTGTTTTGCACGAACTTTGTCACTGCGAGGTAGGGTGGACTGACGGCAAAGAAACTCACACCGGCGCATGGTACCGTGAGGTACAACGGCTTTCAAGAGGTTTCTCCCTTGAATGTGGAGAGAATAAAGATGTGGACGAAGACCGGCTGGACTTCACGAGGTTACGCTTCGAGATGGAATGTGACGCCTGCCACGTCACATCGCTTCACAGCCAGAGGAATAGGACCTGCGGGAAATGTGAAGGCAGTCTTTCTGTGAAAACTGATAGACTTCAGACACTATAAAATTCTTCTGCGCAGCAAAACAGCCGTTTTCAAGGCTAACAAAAGTCTCCCGAGAGGGCAGCTTTCAACAAAGACGCAATTAACCCCTTTCCCATACACCACGAAACGAAATCTTAGGCTCGATACGCCTTTCTCCACGACTTTACACGCGAGCGGCCCGCCCGGCGAGCGCCTGTCATGGAGAGGTTAGGCCACCGGCTCCCCACTCGCGTCGAGCGGGCTGCCTGCCGGTAGGGGAAAGGCGCCTCTCCGGGGCGCGCCACAGAGACCGCAAACGGGCTCACTTACGCGGGCTCCCGGCGCTACATGGCAGAGCGGTGAGTGTCGAGCCCGTTGAGCGAAAATTTTCTCCGTTTATCTCTAGCTCAAACCGTTGAGGCGCTAGAGGGTGTTTTTAACGAAAATAAGCGAAAAAAAATGTACAACCCTGCATGCTTAGTCAAAGTGACGGGCCTTTGACGGGCCTCTTTGAGTACACTTTTGCACTACCCGACTCGCGTGTCAGCGCCGCAGGCCTAGCTATATGTGCGCCAGGCGCGTCGCAGCGTAACAGTGTTTCGTGAGATATCGCGAAGCCTGTTACGCGAGACGTGGTCTGGCGTACATCTACCTAGTTACTCTCAAATTAGGGACAGTAATTGGCTGAGCGATAGCGAAGCCTATTACTCCAGTGATGATCAAAAAGTTTCGCGTCTGTCTGTCTGTCTGTGTGTCTGTCATCATGATAACTCGAGAACGAATTGAGCCACCGACCTGGAATTTTCAGGGTCATTTTGTATCATAAAAAAAGACAAATCGAGTTCGAAGAAGAGCATTCTAGCTCAAAATTGGATTTAAAAAAAATCAAAAACCACAGGTCCCACAAATAATATTCTTTAAAAATGTTTCTTTTTACAGTTTTCTGGTAACTCATCAAAATAGAGCCCTTCGGACGAAAATTTCGTCCATCTGGCTCTATCTTGAACCATTTAGGCGCCACAGGAAGTTTTGGACGAAAATAAGCGTAAAAATGTACAACCCTGCATGGTGAGTCGTAGTAACGGGAAGTTGACGTACTTTGAGTACATTTTTGCGCTACCTGACTCGGGTGTCATCGCCGCAGGCCTAGGTAGATGTATGCCAGGCGCGTCGCAGCGCAACAGTGTTTCGTGAGATATCGCGAAGCCTGTTACGCGAGACGTGGTCTAGCGTACATCTACCTAGTTATTTAAAATTCAACTTTTTAGAGATACTATAGATAATCTAGGGACTTTTAAACCCAAAAGAGGGTGTGATTCGACCCGTAATGTGTAGTTTAAGTATTACTCCCCTTACAATTCTGTGACATGAAGCCTCTTTAACGATTTAGTAGACCATTTAGTCTCTTTCACGTTGTTTTCGCCAAGAAACGCCCCATAGCGCCGAAACGGTACACAATAGAGCAAAACGGACTATATTTTCGTTCGAAGGGTTCTACTTTCACGAGTTAGCTCTTCGGAGCCCATCAAAAAATATTTGAAGAGAATTGTTTTTGAACCTGTGGTTTTAGATTTTTCAAAAAGTCCATTTTTGAGCCAGAATACTCATCTTCGAAATCGATCTGTCTTTTTATGATACAAAACGATCCTGAAATTCCCAGATCGCTTTCTCAATTCTTTCTTGAGTTATCGTGCGGACAGACAGACAAACAGAATGAAACTTTTCCGGTCAGTGGAACAATGGGTTTCGCTAATCGCTCAGCCAACCACTTGACTAGCTTTATGTACGCCACACGACGTCTCGCGTAACAGGCTTCGTGATATCTCACGACACACTGTTACGCTGAGACGTGCGTGGCGCACATATAGCTAGGCTTGCGGCGCTGACACCCGAGGCGAGTTAATTAGAGGGTATAGGGGAACAGGGACTTTCGGGCCCATATTTTGGCATACTCGAACCATTTGTCGGGGTCTTATTGGCTGAGCGATTAGCGAAGCCTATTACTCCGTCTGGTCGGAAAAAACTTTCTGTCTGTCTGTCTGTCTGCACGTCTGTCTGTCTGCACGTCTGTCTGTCCGCACGGTAACTCGAGAACTGATTGAGCGAGCGACCTGGGATTTTCAGGGTCGTTTTCTACCTAAGAAAGACAGGTCGAGTTCGAAGATGAGCATTCTAGCTCAAAAACTGGATTTAAAAAAAATCAAAAACAACAGGTCCCAAAAATGACGTTTTTTATAAAAAAAATTTAATGGTTTCCTAAAGGGTAACCCATCAAAGTAGACCCCTATGGACGAAAGTTTCGTCTGTTTTGCTCTAGCTGAAACCGTTGAGGCACTAGAGGGTATTTTTGACGAAAAGAAGCAAAAAAATGAGCAAGCATGCATGCTTAGTCGAGGTGATAGGCCGTTAACGGGCCGTAGGCCCGTTCCTTTGAGTACATTTTTTCACTACCCGACTCGGGTGTCAGCACCGCAGGCCAAGGTAGATGTATGCCAGGCGCATCGCAGCGTAACAGTGTTTCGTGAGATATCGCGAAGCCTGTTACGCGAGACGTGGTCTGGCGTACATCTACCTTGTTACTCTAAAATTAGGAAAATGAAACGTCTGCTCTTCTGTACCGGTAAAAGTTCGAATTTTGACAGATTGTTACGTAAAAATCGACGTCTTAGTAGTGATACTAGATAATCTAGGGACCCTTAAGGCCAACAGAGGGTGTGGTTCGAACCTTAATATGTGGTTAAAGTATTACTCCCTTTACAATTCTGTGACATGAAGCCTTCTCTACTATTTAAGAGACCATTTCGTCATTATCACGTTGTTTTCGCCAAGAAATGACCCATAACGTCAAAACGCGCGGAACTAAGAAGAACAAAAGCGGATACAGAGAGCAGTGGTGGGGGCGGGCGCGCGGCGCGCGGGCATGGAGGCTCACTTACCACCCGCCGCGCGCACGCCCCCACCACCGCTCTCTGTATCCGCTTTTGTTCTTCGTACTTTCGCTCCGCGCTCTAGCGGGATACCCTATTGCAACGCAACGTGTCTTGCCTTGCCGAAGGAGCGGGCGAAGCAGGTAGCGAGAATGGAGCCGATAATGAGGGCGACGGGGACGGGCTGATAGCCGGCACGGTCTGTGAAGTTGCAGATTCAGATTCCCTTTCCAACGCCGCGATTTCCGCCTCCTCGTCAACGTCCACATTGCCAGTGTTGCTGTTGCTTGGATTCTTTGGAGTAGATGTTTCATTTCCCTTTGTCATCGCATTCCATATCGCAAAGTGCTGGCTCTTGAGGTGTCTGTTCATATTTGATGTGGTACAGTCCGGACCGACACCGAGACTTCACAGTATTTACACTTGACCCGCTTTCCCCATTTGGTAGCCCGAAGTGACCCCATAGGGGCGACTTCTTACGGCTCTTCCTCATTGTGCCTTGTGGCTAGAGCTTCCTCCTAACCTCACTCCCGCTGGACCCGGCCTGGGTGCGGCTGCTCACTGGCACTGGCGAATCTTCACTCTTAGTTTCTTACGAAGACATGCTCTTCATAACATACGAATAGTTCTATTTGTTTGTAAGTACGAACAAGGTTCTTCATATTACGAAGAGCTCTGTTTGTAATACGAATAACATCTAGAGGTCCCTTGAGGGGTCTCTTCCTTACGAACAAAATTATTCGTAATACAGTTTGTACTAGCATTAGTAA